GTTCAGTTTGTATATGCATTACTTTTTCCATAACTTTTCTCTCCCAATGACGTCTTCAGATCAGCTGACCGACACCTCAGTCACTGGACAATGCCAATTGTTCGTGTTCTACCGTACCTCTGTCCCAGTGACGTCATCAAATCAGCTGACCGACACCTCTGTCATCTGACTATACCACTTATTCGTGTATCACAGTACCTCTGTCCCAATGACGTCATCAGATCAGCTGACCGACACCTCAGTCACCTGACAATGCCACATGTTCGTGGATCACAGTACCTCAGTCCCAGTGACGTCATCAGATCAGCTGACCGACACCTCATTCACCTGACAAAGCCACTTGTTCGCGGATCGCAATATCTCAGTCTTAATGACGTCATTATATCAGCTGGCCGACACCTCAGTCACCTGACAATGCCACACGTTCGCGGATCGCAATATCTCAGTTGTCACCTCACGTAGTTGGACCTCGGCCAGTCCCTGACCTTTACAATCACTGATCGACTGATCGATATTTTTAATCACCCCCCCTAATCCCCTACTTTGTCCCCCTTCATCAAGAACGGTAGATTGGCTAGCGGCGTTATTGGAGAAATGACTCATTACATTTCTGTCGCCCTGTTGCTGTGTAGTGTGTTAACTAAAAATTGTTTCGGATTTTAAACGTATTTTTTTATTTTTAGCCATGATTAATGATGGTTACGGTTTGCTAGAAATAGAAAATGCAATTCATTTTCCAATACGATATTTGAGGTAGAATATTTTCAGTGTATGGCTTTTTTTCTGTTTATTTTATTATATTTTTTTGGAGATACTTCTAGTAAATTCAAACCTCTACAGCGGAAAATAGTACATTAAGGTTGAGCTGGTCTAGTGGTAGAGCGCGGGACTTCGGTCCCCGAGGTGCCGGGTCCAAATCCCGCCAATCTCCAATAGATTTTAAATCAGTGATAATGCCAGAACCGCAACATCTAGCCTGAAGTAATGTGAAAAACAATAGTAAGGGGATTTATCTGAAGTTAAAACACGTCTTGATGATTTTGTTGCAAATCTTAGGATTTTAAGCACATTATAAAGTCATGACTCTTTTGCATGGATATTTGTATCCTATTAGATTGTGTTAATTCATCTAAGTTCCAACTAAGAACAACGCGGTACATTTCACTTGCATGGCCATAATAGAAGCTGTAGAAGACCAAACCATCGAAACCTGTTTAGCATGATGTTAATTTTCAAGACGAATTAAATAATGGAGGCTAGCAGAGTTGTAAACCTCTACTAAGTTAAGAAACTGTAGGTTAGGTGGCCTCCATTTAATACTCAAGTACCTTATTTTTACTGCTGTAAAATTCTAGTTTGTAATAATGGGTCCGGAATTCTGGGAATTTTAAAGAAAAATCCATCGTCATTGCCGATGTCAGCGCAATTGCAGATGATTATATCTTGACTACACAGTAATTAGTTATGTTCAGTTGTCACGTACAGTACCAGTAGCGACTGACGTATGTAGATTTGCGTATGGCTCAAGAGTCGTAACATATAGTCCAGGAGCTGAGGGGGTTTGAGCATGCATGAAAGTAGTACGCATTGTTATTGCTGATTATTGTAATATGGACTGTGGTGATCAAAATTACGTATGTCGCCTATTTCAAAAGTGGTCGATAAGGTGGGGGGAGGGGGCAAACATGGCGGTTTGCGCTATGCGTTAACACGCTGATAGTTCGAAAACGGTAAAAGATAGAACATCGGTTAAAACGTCGTTGGAATTCTTAAAATGTGAACAACAATAATGGTTATTGGGTCCGAGGTCGTATCTCTATAAATAAACAAGTTATTGTATAAAATATGTAAAAATGGACTTTTCGTGTAGTTTTTTAACCGAAAGTAGAATTAATTTGTGAGTGTCGCAAAGAAGTAATATCAAATATCTTTGCTGATACTTGTAATATGGCAGGGGTGCCCACAAGGGGGGGCTGTGACGCAGACTGCGTCATTGAAATTCTTGGGGGGGGGCTCAAAAAATTCAAATGGGGGGGGGGCTAATTGCAACAGTGTTCAACGTGACGACAATCCAAAATATATTACGAAGTCGCCAGATAGAAAGTGGATTAATTAATGACAATAGTTATATTATTGAATTCAATCAGTTAAAATAGGATTTCAGGATTCGTGTAGGAAGTTATTATTTAAGATTAGCAAGACGTGAGATCTAAGAGGGAGGGCACGGAATGGCTCAACTGCTGTGATAGATAAAAGATAACGCGTGGTACAGACATGTCCAACTACACGCGACTTGCACAGAAAGCTTTGTTGACATAAAGCTCATTAAAATGCAATCAAGTAGCATAGGCTACAATACTTTACACTATTGTGTAGATACTCGATTACCTGAGTTAATAGGGAGAGGGGGGGTAATGAAAAATACGGTTAATCCAATATATTATAAAAACATATGACAAACTCATTAAAACGCTGTAAACAGCCATTAACGTCACGATTATCATTTTTATAAACAAAATTCAATATTGCACAACCATTATTATTGTGCAATAACATTATTATTGTAAATTTCAAATCATTTATCTTGGTTCAGTTGTACAAACGGCAACGTTTAAAATTATAGCCAACTCAAACTCAACTAATCACTAGCCAAACATTGCATTGCTATAAATAACGTAAATATTAAAGGAACCTTTAGAAAGTGTTATAAGGTACTGCTCATGATAGACAGATAGGCTACCGATAGGTGCTGTATCACAGCATAGGAATTGATAGATAAGTAATAAAAAAGTGTAAAATTATATTTAGAGATAATTAAAACACTCTTAAAAAAGAATGTAACGAGAACAATCTTGTTATTCTTTTTCTTTGTTCTTTAATAGGTTTCTCTTCAATTCATACACAAATTCAACAAGTCGCCATATTTAGGCCTACTCATTGGCCAATCACAGCCTTACTAAAGTTACCATGGTTACTAATCACTCAATCACAGTTTACTAAGCATTATATCGTCATCATTCCCCAGCTGTTGTATCTGACATCTGTTGTAACATAGCGCACAGCAGACAGAAGTGTAAAAGGGAGCAGACGATTGTTGGCGCAAGCGTTGTTTCCATTTCATTTTCATCAAAGGACCTGTGATGTTTCTAAAGGGAGGGAGAGGGGATCGTTATAACGAGAAAAGACGCTGACAATTCGTTAAGCAGAGGTTACGAACGCTATATGGATACCTATTCTGGCAATAAAAAATTCCTTAAATTGTGGTGACTTATAAAACTCTAATTTTATTTATATAGAAAGATAAGTTTTCCAGTCCTGTACAACACTGATTCACGGTCTTTTCCCTGTAATCAAAATTCAAGTACAACCTGATACACACCGAATCTCCGGTTCCCGACCTGGATGATGGCTCTAGTTATTTAATTTAATTTACAGTTACATATTAGTACCCGTGATAAATCAAACCCGTTACGTAAGCCAAATCACACACGGTTATTAATCTCACTTGGTTTTGGATTTGCTTACAAACGTGATCGTAAATGGTTACAAACGTGATCGGAAATGGTTAGGGCCTACACAGTATTTGTCAACAACATTTATGTAAACATATCAGTGACAGCTAGGAAAAGAAATCTTTATCAAAACAGATTATTAGTATTTCAAAAATTAATGACGTATGTGGTAAACATGGAGAAAATAAACTAGAAAAATCACACAAAATTGTGTACTTGATCGTCCGTTATTTTATTTCCAAAATAGTGTGGCCATATTTTAATGGCTATAAGGACTCTCTCGCCAATCCTGTGGATACAATTAAACAATTATAATCATAATCGGTACTCTAGTTTTCTTTAGAGTAGGCTGCATAAAATGCCTTCTGGGCCATGACAGACGGACATAAATTGAGATAAGACATGTTTCAACTTCTTCAATGTATAAAACATAAATAACCCAAAATATGTATAATTCTGAGCAATGTACAGACAAACCTATAACTTTATTCATATCTTCATATAGATTCACTGGGTTTGAATTTTAAATATCTAAAGAAATTATAAAACTTCTTTTATAGTTTTAAAAATAGTACTGGGCGGGGAATAATGTTTCTCATTTGTTGTGTACATCATTTATGGTGGGGGGGGGGGGCTGTTGCTCAATGGGGGGGGGGGTGCGTCATGAGTCTAGGGGGGGATGGGCACCCCTGAATATGGACTGTGGTGATAAAAAATACGCATTTCGCCTACTTTTCAGGTGGTCGAGAACTTGGGGGGAGGGGGGCAAAGATGGCGGAACGCGCTATGCATCGAGACGACTGTAGCTCGAGAACGGTACGAGATAGGACATCGGTTAAAACGTAGTTTTAATCCAAAAAATATTACCAATAGAAAAGGTCATTGGGTAAAAAGTTGTATCTTAACTAATAAAAAAGTTATAACAATAATAAGTTTAACAAAATCTACATCGTACAGCTATTTTTTTCGAAAATCTTATGGACTAATAATTCATAAAATAGATAATGTATCAAATAAACCGTTGGTCAGGCGACGCTAGGATTGGCGCAAATTTAACCTGCGAGTAACTAGCGAAGTGTAATTAAATATGAAGAGATGGTAAGTTTGCAATGCTTGTAAATACGCGGCCGCTATTGAATTTGAACATGTTTACACTTTTTTGCTCTAATCATGGTGAAATTGTCACATATTGAAGCCCCATTAGCTTGTGTAAACCCGAGAAAATCGTACACGTTGCGAGTTTATAGCATAATATAATAGTATACATAAAAAGACCGCTACTAAATTGTCTTTAGCTGAATGTTAGGATGATAAATCTGTAAAGAGTGTAATCGATGATGATGTTAATAGTGACATCTTAATCCAGGCTTATATTTAGTCGTAATTACATTTACCAATGACAACTTGTATTGTTCGCTCTAATCTATACTGTTTCTTATCATAATCCAGTTAAGTAGTGTGTGCTAATGTGTGTCTGTGGTGTTGCAGATAGTGCCCGGAGTGAGGTGCCTCATCAGTGTGTCCCATCATGTAATATGCGCTCCGTGGCACGTGGTGGCGAGCCGTCGTATCTGCAGGTCGGAGCGTCCGTCACCCGTTACCAGTCTTGCACCGTCGACCCCAGACCCTCCAGAGTCGTCCACTGTCCAGACCTGAACGCCTGTCTTGTCAACGAGGGGCGAGACAGCGAGCCGGTCCACTGCAATGCCGTCCACTACGGCTACGCGATCCCGGTGAACGTGGTGCCGTCGCAGCAACACCCGGACCTCGCCGAGCTAGTGCTGGACGCCGACAGAGGATTGGCGCCGGAGACCGTGTCGTACCTGCTGCAGCACCACCCGCAGCTGCGGGAGTCCGCGATGACTACGACGGCCAACAACCGCCGGGGGACCGCCCTGGCGGAGCCTGAAGAAGACATCGCGGCGATCGCGAAACAAATCAGTGACCACGCTGAAGCTATCTACCAAACGTGGAAGGCTAGAGGGTTAGCGCCCACGGAGATTCTCAATTGTCACACAAATTCGACAGCGGCTGACAAGTTCGGGTCGGCGCTGACGCCCAAGAAGGAGAAAAGTCCTACTTCTCCGGTCGTAGATTTGTTGTCCACTCCGTCGTCTTTGAATACGAATAATTTAGAGCAGTTGGTGAACAATTTCGTGGTAGAAGACAAAGCTAGGATTGCGCGTCAAAAGACGAACACTTCGAAAGCTATTCCGTCCTCTATTCAGTTCGCTCTGCAGAAGTTTGAAAAGAAAGCTGCTGAACCGAGTGTAAAGGTTGGTGTGAAACAGACAAATCAGAGGCAAAGCGATCCTTTGAGGAATTACAGTAACACAACTCCGAGGCCTTTTCAACCCAAGCCTTCCAACATATCGCCGTACATCATGGATACGATAGAGACTACCTTTCCGGACGAGACGGACAAGAGCAAGACCGAAGAAGGCGGGTCCGGCATGACCACGTGGCCTTTGAAAAACAAAACTGTCGGTGACACCATCAAGAAACTGGGTGGCAATTTGGAAAAGACTGAATCGGGAACAGAGTATTTAGACGAAGTCGCGAAAGAGGAAGAGAGGCTGATAAACGCGTTGAAAACTGGAATCATCATCGCCGAAGATCCTAACAGCAAGAGGGCGAAGAAAGGATTGAAGTATGGCAGAGCTGAAGAAAAGGCGGAAATCAAAGAGATCTTGAACAAAGTGAATGTGCAGAGCAAGGTGGAGGCGTTTAGCAAAGCAGAGCAGCAAAATGTTGTGGTTCGTAGATCTCCCGCGGTACGAACTCCTGGAGGGTCCGTTCCTCATCCGGAGTTGAGGACTCGGTCCGCGCCCAACACCGTGGCTAACCCGGTAAGACCGTTCCTCACCCGCGGCTCCGTGGCTGAGAGAGTACTCATCTTCGAGAAATGTCCAACGGAACTCATCATGGAGAAGAGAGGCAAGAACAACTCGGTCAACTCATGGAGGAACACATCTGTAGACGTCCAGGCTAAAGCACAGGTCAGTCGAGTGATTATTTTGTATCTTTGTTTGATAGTTTTTGTGTTTAAATAGTTGTTGAGTGTATGCAGGACTTTTTAGTGTCTTTAAACACAAGATTTTCCCCAGGCTGATGAATTAAAAAGGTTAAATAACTTGTCGCCTTTTGCGCTTTTGATCCAAGTTTCGTCCTGACTGAATACGCATTTCGGTTCTTCGTCCACCATTATCTTGCTCTTTCCTGAAGAGGTGTGTCAAAAGCTAAAAAATAGTATACACGTAAAACACTAACCGACGTTTTAGCATTTCTACCATTGAGATTTTATGTGACTTCCTACTTGTTTATTTGTTTTGTTCTCCTTAACATACAATTCTTTGGTAAATTTTTGCGCACAATCGTTGATATACCTCTTCTATCCAAGACGACTCGTGCCACTTGATTATGTATGACCCCAACAGCGCACAACCTAGAACGGAACATGAACTCCTAAGGTCACAATAGGCAATTTAAACGTATATTCGTCAAATAACTGGTCCTAAACACCATAAAAATAAAAGATGCATCCTCATTAAGTCACATTTTCTTCTATTTGGATTTCTAACGTGTCCAATGCCTATTGCACGACAATATTGAAAATCACAACTCTCATCAGCTAAAGCTTTTTATCACTGGGCGGGGACATGCTAATTTTCAACACCCATATCTTTCAAAGTGATCTTTGAAGTTCTGAACCGTGTAGCAATCCAATGACAATGTCTTCTCAAAATGTTTGTATTGTCGAGGTGTCGTTATCAGCTGAATAAAAATCTATTTGCCAATCGGAAGTCGTAGGCGAAAATTTGAATAACCCATTCCTGAATGGCCAAGAGGATATTTTGTTTACATTACGTTCAAGGGCGCGCTGCCGATGACTTGCCTCTGTTGCTCTATTGTGAGGCTTTATGGCACATTCTATGCTGATTCAAGTGCAATTCTGATAGCATAATCGGCAACGGTTGTTACATTATGTTGAAATACGATATGACACCTTTAGAAACGCGTTGTAGACCTACGCCACATGGTATTTGAAATGCAAACTTGAGACTTGGAACATACTTTGCGCATGAATATTATTGTTGGGTTCACTGTATTTTTTGTTGAATTTCTACAGCACGATCTTTTAAATTCACGCCTATTTTAGAACATTTTGTACAAAACAGAACAGTGTTGTACCTACTAAAACGATAACAATAGGCCTACCAATAAGCTATAAAAATTTATGAAAGATTGGTTTTGTGGTTTGTCTATAGTAAAATTTTCAAGTTCAGTGTTTTTCCTAAAAATCTGCACTTTTTATGATTTTTCAATTATAAAATGTTTTCTGGACTACAGAATTTGTCTGTCATCACGTAAAATGTATTTAAACTAGCTTATATTTAATTTTTGTTTAAAAAAAATCACATTATTCACCTCAGAGATATTTAAGCTCAAACTGGAATATAAAAATGTATTTCCTCGACAGTAGGGTTTTATTTAGTTTATTAGACGTTTAATTAGGATCCATTGCTGTTTTACCCAGAAAAAACTTTTATTTGCAGTAAGCAATCATGCATATTGTTCAATCACACACACAATTAATAAAAATATTTCCCAACGAAACGTATATCACTATAGGCTATCAACAAGGTATGGGAATACCAAAGATGCAAGGTCGAAACGATTTTGTTTTATTTATTGCATAGTGTTTGGAACACAAATCTCGTTTAGAGCATGCATTCAGTGGATTGCCAATCCATGTATTCCAATCTTGTTAATAATGTACGCTTTGATATTTCAAGACTTGGTTGCTTGCCGACGTTTTAACTGGGTCACACTTCACATCGTAGATTGTAAATAGCTCAAATCGGGGTTCAATCAAATTTATCAAATCAAAATAGCAACATTTCGAAAAAATAATACAAACACAGACATATACAGACAGAAAAATACTAAATACAATCAAACAAATATTCTTTTTTAGTTATGAACCAAATTGAAAGTCACCTAGGAAATACTACTCCTGCGCTTGGCAATAATTTACCACCTATTCAATTCCTTTACACGTACAAAAAGTTTCTAAAATCCACAATTTTCCTGCATTACAATAAAATGTGTGAGATGAAAAATTAAAAACAAGTTGGGAGACGTTTTGATGGATTACCTTTACATGAGAAGTATTTTTGTTTACCTTTGTTTGTTTAATTAGTGATGCAATATGACGAAAATATAGTTCACCACACGAGCAAAAAGTGTCTTTTACTCGCTTATTTTTGACCTAGGCACCGTCTCGAGCGTAAAACTTGAAACCGAGTCGAAAAGAGTCACTTTACGCCCAAGTGTTGAAATATACTATTTGTTACCGTCGTCCAGAGAATTAATATATTCAAAAGCAAACTGTAATGTTTTATTGTGGCTGATAAATACAAGGTTGTTGCATTTCACCATTAAGTGCCTGTTAAATTAATTAAAATTCTTAACTACAGTACATGTTTCGAAGAATAGTTAAGTCCACAATCAATTTGCATATTTCTTTTACAAGTGAATTTCACAAAAAAATTTCTACAGTAAAAATGTATACAGTAGCTTATTAACGGACAGGGTTTATAGATGGTTTTATTTATAGAGTAATGTTTGTTGTGATAATCTATACTGTATCACTGACCAATGGTCAGCCTTGTCTGTAATGGGACAGTTAGTTACTAGTGCTGGTGCTGGTACCCTCATGGTTAACCGCTACACCACCGCTAAGCCTCTCAATAATTAGACTGACGAAGCATTAAAAGTATAGTATATGCAGGGATACTTTAACAGAACCGGTGTGGATCATAAACAATAGTATATATCATCACTAGGGCCTAAAGTGACTCTTTTTGGCCCGATGTCAAGTTTTACGATCGAGGCGAAGCCGAGGTTTGCCCGTGTGGTGAACTATATTTTTCGTCATATTGTATAATTCATTAACAAACAAAGTTAGAAAACGAAATATTTTTTTTGTAAAGATAGGCTAACCTCTCAAAATGACTTCAAGCTTGTTTTCAATTATGCTAATACAAATAAGCAGCTGTTTGGTAAGTGATTCAATCATTTCGTCTATTACGAATGTGTTACAGTACATTATATACCATCGATATTTCGTGCAATCGACAACAATAGGCTAACAATGGCCATTACCTACTAAATTGATCGATACGACTGCTACATTCGAAATTTACAACTGTTTACAACAGCTGATTTTTACTCCCTATAAAAAGTATAAGTCGAGAATAATCGTTTAAATTTTTGGAAAAGTACTTTTAACTGGTTTTACCCATATTCGTCGAATGCCAGTTTTATATCCCACAAACATGTTTAAAAGAATTAAAATAACAGATGTAGCAAAAAAGCATCAACAATATCTCTAAAATTATTTAGAAAATCTCCACCACACGAGCATACAGTCTGTTGACCCAGAAAGACAGGTAAAACGTCCAGGTAAACTATTCATGCAGTAGCGACGGTGCAAAGGCCGCGGAATGAGATATAAATCTGCGTCAAGTCAAAGGCTTTCAAAATAATCAGCTCATTAGACCTGAGCTCGTTACTGGTCACTCCAAAGAGGCGGAGTCAGCCACCTCGCCATCTCACTATGTTGATTAATAGTTGCAATCATCGTTGGTTCCGCATAGATCCTTAGACAAGAACGAATACTATAAAATATGCCCTCCCACCATTTTGAAATATCTGCACTTATACCATGTTATTTTAAAAGATGTTGAAATGGCGTTCGTTTTTCGACCATACACAGGCCATTTTCAGGTTTAACGTGTACCTAGGTTTGCTGTTACAGTGTAGGTAGTTAAATGTGTTTTTAGTCAAATATTAAAAAATTCTGCCGGCAGCGTGTTCCTTGACTGAAGTGAGGTTATCCCACTGTTTTACAAAACCATGGTTTTTATCCCTAAACTCAGAAGATTATTTCTGTCAATTGTAATGTGTGTCGTGTTCGTGTTAAATGTCAACATTTCTACGAAACCCATCGGGTGGATTTTAGAATAAACATTTGGTCTACCTAAACTTCCGACTGAATATGAACCTACGGGTTCGAAATTAATATCGGACAACCATAATAAGGATTGCTAAGGTAAGAATTTACTATTTATTTGATTATATAAGCAATCCAGAGGCTGAAATGATAGAAATATTAAACGATGAAAGATTACCAAATTTGATCAAAGTACATCCACAAACAAGCAAACTACAACATTTTACCCACTATCCATATAAATAACATAGTAATTTATATGGTAAACATTTAATTTTACGGGTTTTTGTTTTCTCCGGAACTATCCGACGTTTAATTATGCTTTAAATGTGGTAAATTATTTAATTGTAGGTTCTACGAGATGGATTTCAAAGAATTCGCAAAATCCTATGTTTTGGTTAAATAGGTTTTACCTCATTAAAAATCTCTCCCATCTCATACTGGTTCGCAAACTCGTTGGAATAAAAAAAGGTTTATACGGTTGTACAAATATGTCATCAAGGTCTTTATGAATTCGAACATATATTCTGTATAACCTCTCAACACCAAAATGGTGAGTAAATCGGTCCCGGGTAGGTCTGCATGAGACCTACGGTTATAGCTTATTTAAATGGGAAATCCGTTTGACAATCCTATACCGATTTCAACGATAACGATTGCCAACCTATCTACATTATGACCTCGGTTGTTTACCTGTGCTATAGTCCAGTGATAGCAGGCAATCATGTATAATTTTCTCCTGGAATGTTTCTCGACCTTCCCTGTGTCTCCCTGCTTTTGAACTCCTTGACACAGAAACAGATCTGCGACTGTGACAGATACCACGATGTACGACGTGTCAATGGTCGTTTGAACCGATGTTTTATCGCATTGCTTTCATCTCGCAAGTGTGTTGGGCAGTATTTTATTCTTTAGAACTATTCGACTTAAAATTCCTTGTAGCAACATGTATAGTTTTCACACCAACAAACCAAACCTAAC